CGAGGGGCAGCGACATGCATGGGGCTGTCATCTCCTAGGATAACAAGGCCCCCTTCTGAAACACCGCCTGAGGCTCTCCTTGAGGCGGTATCGCTCTTTTCAGAAATATGTCCACGTTGTTGCCTTTTCAGTGCATCACTCCAGGAAGAACCAGTTAGTTTATACCATTATTAAGGATGTTAAATTTGATTACTTGAATAAGGTAGTATTTGCCAGATTTCTGCATTACCATTTTCCATTTGTAATTAATGAGCAATCTGCTGGGAGATACTTTCAGGCTGTGTAATCATCATGTGGTTACCAATCTACACACTTTCACCCAATATTTTTAGCATTAACTGATGACTCTTGTCTGGACCAATTATTACTATCATAGCTGCAAAATGGGGATTTAAAAAATAACCCTATCATTGTGTTTACATTTATTAGTTGGCAATTCTACTCTTTAAAAAAAGACTTTCCCTTCTAACACCATTTGTTTGTTTGTTGTTAGTTGATATGAACTTGTGATTCTGTTTTTATATTATGTATTATAACTCAATACTGTCATTTTTGATTTGGAAACTCAAATTGTCCCTGTTTGGCCAAACTACCTTCTGTGTCATTTTAACATGATTCCCTCATTTTTTGAGCACTTGCATACTTTTTGGCATGACGAGATGTTCTAGACTCATCTTGTACTATCCCTGACTCATCCCAGAAATTAGCATTTTTCTCCAAGACATGGTTGGTTTGAGTGAGGAAAGATTTTTAGAAACCAAAGCCCTGACTCTAGGGGAGTTCATTGCTACTTAAGACTCATTGCTTCTAGGCCCTTTCAGAAGATAGAACATATAAAATCTATTTTTAAAAAAAAGCATGCTGATACCTCTAATTCCAATTCAATACCACAGGGTTATTCCTTGCCTTCCTCCCTCCAAATTTGTATTTCCTTTCTTCCATACGAGAGCCTTAGCCCTCAACAGTATCAATACATTTCCTCATTCACTGAAGCCTAAAATGCATACAAAATAACTTCAGAATCACTATACTCATACCATCACCACCACCAAGAAACAGTAAATAAATAAATATACAGTAAATAAAGTTAGTAAAATAAGGTTCAAGATTTCATTGAATTTCCTTTTGTTTTCATATTAGGGATATGAAATAAAAATACCATCCCAAAATTAATTGAATTAATACTTTCACTTTCTCCTGTGTGGTTATGTTCTCCATTTGATAAACAGTATAGTATGGTTTTTTTAAAAAAAGATTTCATTTTTTTTTTAGAGTTTTAGATTCACAAAAAAATTGAGCAGGAGAGGCAGATATTTCCCAAACGCCCCCTGTCCCCCACATGCACAGCCTCCCTATTATCAGCATCCCCCAGCAGAGTAGTACATTTGTTACAACTGATACCCTACATTGACATATCATTAGCACTCGTGTCTACCATTATAGGATCATACCAAATAGTTTCCCTGCTCTAAAAATCCTCTGTGCTCCGCTTATTTCTCTCTCGCCCTGCAAACTCCTGTCAACCACTGATCTTTTTACTGTCTCCATAGTTTTGCCTTTTCCAGAATGTCATACACTGGAAATCATACAGTAAGTAGCCTTTTCAGACTGGCTTCTTTCACTTAGTAATATGCATTTAAGGTTCTTCCTTGTATTTCCATGGCTTACTAGCTCCCTTCTTTTTGGTGTTGAATAATATTCCCATTGTCTGGAGGTACTCTAGTTTATTTATCCATTCACCTCCTGAAGGACATCTTGGTTGCTTCCAGTTTTTGGCAGTTATGAAAAAAGCTTCTATATAAATGTGTGCAGGTTTTTGTGTCCACATGTTTTCAACTCTCTTAGATAAACCCTAAAGAGTGTGATTGCTGGATCATATGGTTAAGAGTATGTTTAGTTTTGTAAGCAACTGCCTAACTCTCTTCCAAAGTGGCTGTACCATTTTGCATTCCAAGAAGAGTTCCTCTTGCTCCACCTCCTCATTAGCATTTGGTGGTGTCAGTGTTCTGGATTTTGGCCATTCTAACAGATGTAAAGTGAAATCTCATTGTTATTTTAATTTGTATTTCCCTGATGACATATGATGTGGGGTATCTTTTTATATGATTTGCTATCTGTATATCTTCTTTGGTAAGGAGTCTGTTAAAGTTTTTGGCCCATTTTTAAATCAAGTTTTTACTTCCTTGTTGTTGAGTTTTACATTTATATTTTATATACAAAGAGTTCTTTCCATATTTTAGATAACAATCCTTTATCAGATGTCTTTTACAATTTGTTTTTCTTTGTATTCAATTTTAGGGTCCCTCCTCCTAATTTCCCCAACACCTGTTCTGGTTGTTCTAATTATATTTTTTGAATATGTGAAACTGTAACATGATTCCAAAAATAGAAATAATTCATAAAGGTATACTAAGAGATGTATCACTCTCTCCTTTATTCTTTCTATACAACCCTTGTGGTAACCAATTTCGTTATTTTCTAGTTCATCTTTTCTATTGCTAAGAAATTAGGCTGCATTAAATGTATTGAATATTTAATAAGGGCTATTTAAGAAAGGCAGAGAAACAAGAGAATGAAAATGAGATAAAGAAATAAAAAGGGTCAAAGACAAAGTGATTGAAATGGAAGACAGGCAAAGAAGATTTAATGTACTTATAACTGGAATACCTGAAGAAAAAAACCAAATAATAAAACAGAACTTATATTTAAAACTGTAATTCAAGAAGACTTTTTAGAAATGAAAGACGAGAATCTATATATACAGAGGTCCATTTTTGCCTCATAAAACTGACATGGAATGGTCAACTCTGACATGTAGCCCAATAAAACTACTGGATTTTAAAAATGAAAAAGTCCTCAAAGCTCTGGGGAGAAAGACCAAATTACTCACAAGAACAAGAAAATTAGGCTGGCTTTAGACCTCATCAGTAACATACAAAGTAAGGCACCTCTGGAGCAGCATTTTTAATGGAAGCTAAGGATTTTATATTCCAGCCAAGTTTAATCAATTCTAATTTTATGTTTTCTAATGGAGAGATATTTCTGTTATTAGTTTTAAATTTTTTGATTCATTTCTTTGTTTTAGGCTATTTAATTCATTTAGTAGTATAATGTTACAGTTTCTTTTTGCTTTCTAATTAGTTGTGGGGGAAGAATGTCCATGAGCCAAAAGGTTTTGATTCTCATTTTCTGTTTTCTTTTTACAGTAACTTTGTATGGATATAGGCTGCTTTTTTTTGGGTCCATTTTGTGGAAAAAGAGTAAAGATTTGGATGGCTTAAAAAACTGTAATTCAAGACTGCCCCCTTCTGTCAAAATAGTGAAGTTCAATGTCCTTTTTCATATACATTTATTTACTTGGGGTGGGGTGGGGAGAGGTTTGTAGGAAAAGGGTCTGATGTGTTTTATAGTTCTTTTGCTTCAGTAGGATCATAATTCCTCTCTCTAACTTCCTTCTTTCCCTTCACTAACATATCTCCAAAATGCACCTCTACCTTCCTATTTATTCCTTTCCCAGAAGTGAAACCTTTCCCAAACTACCATCATAGGTCTCACATGCTTTCAAGTCCTTTAACTTTAGCCAGTACTCTACTCTACCAGGTCCTAGAACGCTTTCAGAAATTTTATATTTATTGTGAAGCTTTCTTTTTCTACTGCAGTTTTTGTCACACTTAGGCCTTCAACTCCTCTTTCTTCTTTTCCATGTAAAATAGTTTTTAAAACCTCCCCAAGTCTAAAATATCAAATACAGCTCTGTTGGAATTTGGTGTTTATTTCTTATTTAAAAACAATTTGAAGTTCATGGTACTGTTTTTCTCCTAGTAAGGCTGGGAAAATGTGGATTAAGTATGGTTTTATTTCCATTCCTTTTTAATCTGTCCCTTTTTATTCTTATTGTTATTACTGATTGTGGTTTGTTGGTATTTTATAAACATTTATGTTAAAACACCCCAGGATATAAAGGAAACGGCTAAGTTTGTGAACAAGTCTTTCTTTTGAAGATAAATCAAGTAACTTTCTTAAAACACCATACATAAGAGAAACAGATTCAGAAATTGAAGTCTCTCATATCCAATGACTAATCTAGTTATGGTAGAATCTAATATGATACACTAACGATTATAGTTTTGTGGTAATTAGAAGTCCTTTCTGCCAATGTGTAAATAATATCTACCTTGAGCTAAAATAAAAGAAATTGTGTTTAGTTTAGAAAGTTACATAAAGAAACAAACTAGAACCCACTTTCTTGGCTATTTTTCTCTTTATGTTGATAATGCAAGAACATGACGGAGTGATTTTCCCATCTTGGGCTTTGGTAAAATTCATTCATCCAACTATGCAACATTTATTGAGGACCACTAAACTGCCAAATATTAGGGATACAAAGGTAGTAACTAAGACACACTCCCTGCTTCACAGAAAGTATTATAGAAGACTATGAGGAAGTGCACAAGGTCAGATACAATACAGTGTTCTTTACAAAATGCCTAAAAGTATGCACACCATACTATATATACTTTTAACAATACATATATATGTAGTATAAATACAAAAACATGAGAAAAGGATAATCAAATTCAGTATAGAGGTTAACTCTGGGAGGATGAGCTGGAAGAATAAGGGGAATAAAATCAGGTAAAAAAACAAAGGGAGCTTCAATTTATCTATAGTTTGTAGTACATTGCTTTAAAAAAGAAAAAGTAAGATCTGAAACAAATATTGCAAAGTGCTAAGATTGACAAAGCTCAGTGATCAGATAAATGGGAATATTAGTTATATTATCTCTATTCTTTTCAGTATGCTTGAAATATTTTGTGATTTGAAAAAAAAATTATTCAAAATACAGTTCAATTTACTGGTAAGATCTGTGGAGTTTTAATTCAGAAATTTCAGAATATGTTTAAATTGTGTAATAACACAAAATTGAGAAAACTAATTTTAGGAATGAATGAGAAAAACAGCCTAAATACATCATTTTTTAGATGAAGTGTTATACATACCTGTGAGTGCTAAATAAGAAGCAATGTACCGCTTTTCCAGTCCATCTCTAACACTCTGAATTGCACCAAAAATTGGAGGTATAATCATAATCAGGTTACTCACTGTATTCCCTATAGAGGAAAAACATGAGAAGATAATTAGGTTAATCAATGCTACTTTAAATAAAGTTATATGCACTTGGCTCTTAAAAATTAAATAAGTGATTTCTCAGAAAGACGGTAGAAAGATACTTAAAAGGTTCTAAAAGAAAAACCTGTACTCAATAAAAATTTCTTACAAGAATTCAAGTAAAACAAAGATACCTTCAGACAACTGAAACTAAAAATTTTCAACCTGAACATCCACTAAAGGAAATTCTAAATGTAAAAAGGAAAAGTATCTCAGAAAGAACCTCACAGATACAGCAGAAAATGAGTTGGACAAAGCGGCCTACCCCAGGGCTATTTACTGAAAGGGTGGTCCATTGATACAGTATAACAAGATAAAATACAGGATTTGGCTAATTTTGTCTGTTGAATCAAAGAGCAACAAATCAGGGTTTGCATTTGGCATATCTTCTTAAAATTTCATCTTTGTGCTAATGTTTTTAGTTTCTAGAAAACATGAAAGGCAATGAATCTTAGTCTGATCTTTGTTCTTGTCTTTACAAAAACAAAGCTCAAACATGAATAGCAAAGGAACAATTAAAACTCCAACAGCAAAAAAAGTAGTAAAATGGGGAAAGAAATGGCTAAACTATTTTATAAATTGATTCTGAGTAGAATAAAGAGGCACAATACATTAAAAATTCCAAATAACTGATTTTTAACATAGGAGCTGATGTCAAGACAAATACCAGTTAATGGATATAACACACTCTACCCTTTAACAACAACATGTACATTCTTCTCACTGCAGCATTATTCACAATAGCCAAGACATGGAAACAACTAAGTGTCTAAAACACATGAATGGATAAAAAAGATGTTATATATACATAAAACGGAATACTATTCAGCCATGAGAAAGAAGGAAATCTTGCAACAACTTAGATGAACCTGAGGGAATTATGTCAGACAAAGACAAATATTGTATAATATCAAGTATATGTGGAATCTATTATTAAAAAGCCAAATTCAGAGAAACAGAGAACAGAGTGGTAGTTACCAGAGGCTGGGAGTGGGGGAAATGGGGAAATACTGGTCAAAAGGTACAAACTTCCAGTTATATGATTAACAAGTTCTGGAGATCTAATGTATAATGGTCACACAATTTCATGAACTCATCCTAGAAAAAGTGCAATATACCTCATTGCTGAATATCACTATGGTCACCTTCAAAGTCCTCCCCTTGAGAAGCTATGCACCAACGCCAGTGCCTTCAAAGCAATTTTGGAACTCTTTTTCTGGAATGGCCATCAGAGCTGTGGCCGTATTACCCTTGGTGTCCTGAATGTCATCAAAATGTCTTCCTTTCAATATTTCCCTTATCTTCGGGTAAAGAAAGAAGTCATTGGGGACCAGATCAGGTGAGTAGAAAGGGTGTTCCAATACACTTATTTGTTTAATGACTAAAAACTCCCTCACAGACAGTGCAGTGCGAGTTAGTGCATTGTCGTGATGCAAGAGCCATGAATTGTTGACGAAAAGTTCAGGTCCTCTAACTTTTTCATGCAGCCTTTTTAGCACTTCCAAACAGTAAACCTGGTTAAATGTTTGTCCAGTTGGTACAAATTCATAAAGAATAATCCCTGTGATATAAACAAGGTTAGCAGCATCGTTGCAACAAGTTTGGAACTTAACTGACCTCATAATTACTGTGTGTGTGTGTGTGTGTGTGTGTGTGTGTGTGTGTGTGTGGTGAGGACGTTTAAAATCTACTCTCTTAGCAACTTTTACATATGTCATACAGTATTATTAGCTATAATTACCACACTATATGTGTATTTCACTCAGCATAATGCCCTGTAGGTCCACCCATGTTGTCACAAATGGCAAGATTTCATTCTTTATTATGGCTGAGTATATTCCACTGTAGAGTTTTATAGAATAATAGACATAATCTTTTTAAAGAAAAAATATTAAATGCATCTTAACAAAAGAAAGTAAAACTGAATATGAAACCAATTAAAAAGTTAGAGTCCTGATCTTTACATGTTTCATTTTTATAGCAATGCATCTTTGCTGTGAAACATCAAGAAATCCACACTCCTAAATTTCCTCCCACCTCCCTTCCTCTACTTATTAATTTTTAGAAGTCATTTCCACATTGTCAAGGATTGTAATTTCACATTGTCAGGGATTTATGTTTAGTTCTACAAATCACATTTTCCATCCTTGCCCTCCACTGATAAAGTTTAATATCCTGCCAGCTATCAAAGGAAACATTTAAAGGGCCCAGGTCCATTTGCACAGAGCATACAATGAATAGTGAATCTGAAGCTGAGAGGTAATAGATTAATAACTAGCACAATTATAACACTATGTTTTCACCAATCATGTGGGCAAAACTATGGCTGGTGAGGGTTCCCCAAGCAACAAAACGATAAGAATGGGTGTTTAGATTTTCCCTCTTCTTTTTTCCTGTATTTTCTACAATGTGGTTATATTGTATTTATAATTTAAAGTTAAAATATTAATAAAATAAATGATAGAAAGTAAAGGCTAAATTACTTTTACTAAGAGTTTAATTGGGTTTGGAGTGCTCCCAGAAAATTCAATTAAAACAGGTTTTTTTGGGAAATAAAAACTAGAGATTCAGTCATACACATAATAATGTACTAAAACATTAAAGTAAGAAAGTATTTTTTTTCCTAGAGGGTAATCTTGTTTGGATATAGGCTTAAAGGATTTTTAAAAATCTTAAAATTATGATATTTTTATACTGCAAACACAATCCCTTTGTATTCTCCCCTAAATACAAATTATAGATGAGGTTGACAATACACCAATAACTTCAATGTTTCTAAGTAGGTAAAGTCATCTTTTTCAAGCAAAAAGAAACTCAAATATCAAAAGTATAGAAAAGAAAGTCAGGGGAAAAAGGCAATGTGCAAAAGAGTAATTTCAAACAACTCTGAATGGAGGATACAGTAGAAAAATGTTTGCCTCAGCATGACAGTAGGTGGAGCCAGTGTGCTCAACAGTCGTAACAGTTCTCCCAACTTGGACAGAATACTCAGAGCCCTGAGGCAACTGGTAGACAATTTAGAGCTCAGTTGTATTTACTATTGTATAACCACCACCCAGAGCTAAGGATAAAAAAACAGAAGCATTAAATCCTGGTGAAGCTAAAAGTGTGACCCATTACTGCTTCATTGCGGCTAGATGAAAGCAGGAACTGGTTTGAGTCCAGCACTTTCCCCAGTGCATTTTGCCCAATAGTTAACTGCATATGCAGATGTTCAAATAATGTTAAAGATCCCAGAACTTCAGAGACTTCGGAGCTGGAAGAAGACAGGGAGATCATCTAACCTAATCTCCTCAATTTATAGTAGGCAACATTTTGTTCAGACCTACTACCACTTTCTAGTTGGGTGAACTTGGGCCACTTATTTACGGTTAAGCCTTACTTTCCTGACCTGTAAAATGGGAGGGGGGGGATAATCGTATTAAATTATTTAAATAAATATGATGAGAACAATAAACATGACCAAATAATGCATATAAAGATCATTTCTGATATGAGAAAGATCTATTGAACATTATACAGAAACTTCCATAATCCTGTCATGTTAAGAATTAAGTCCTGTCAGGGAAAAGTTCTTATGCTTGGACCAGCTCAAGAAAAATTGTTACACGTGAAAAAGTTTGTCTTCTCATCTGACCAAAGACAACGAAAGCTGTAGGGGACTCTGATTCACCCACAGTTAAAACAAAACAAAACAAAACAAAACAAAACATAAATTCATGTTCTAGTGCTAGGTACTCCTCAATTATATCAGAATTGGAATACTATTCTGCCATAAGAAAAGATGAAATAGTGCCATTTGTGACAACATGGGTGGATCTTGAGATTATTATGCTAAACAAAATAAATCAGACAGAAAAAGTAGAGAACCATATGATTTCACCGATATGTGGTATTATAAAACTGAAAACAACAAAAGAACAAGAAAAACAAATGAAGAAACAAAAACTCATAGACACAGACAATAGTTTAGTGGTTACCAGAGGGTAAGGGGGGAAAAGGGGTGGTAGATGAGGGTAAAGGGGGTCAAATATATGGTGATGGAAAGAGAACTGACTCTGGGTGGTGAATACATAATGTGTTATATAGACGATGTATTACAGAATTGTACGCCTTAAATCTATGTAACTTTGCTAACAATTGTCACCCCAATAAACTTGAATTAAAAAAAAAAAGACTGATGTCAGAATAAAAACAGGAAACCAGCACAGGTACACTAAGTCCTCATTCAATGGCATCAATAGGTTCTTGGAAACTGTGACTTTAAGCGAAATGATGCATAAGGAAACCAATTCTACCACGGGCTAATTGATGTAAACAAGAGTTAAGTTCCTACAGTATATTTCTGGTCACAAAACATCACCAAACTTCTATGCAAATCCCCAAAACATTTCTAATGTTAAACACTGAGATAAATGTGAGCTACACATACATTTAAGAAAAATAAATAAAAACAAGTAAAATAATTCTTTTCCAAACTGCTTATTCCAGTTCAGAGTCATGGGTGGCCGAAACCTCTCCCTGCAGCTTAGGGTGCAAGGCGTGACCCATCCTGGACAGGACGCCCTTCCAAACCAGGGCTACTCACACACATACCCACACTCACTCACACAGGGACAATACAGACACCCCAGTTAACATTTACATCTTTGGGATGTAAGAGGAAACCAGAGTACCCAGAGACACAGACATGAGGAGAACATGCCAATTCCACACAGACAATGGCCCCAGCCTGGAATCAATTTTTTTTCTAAACATTATAATGAAACAAACGTTGATCAATGACATTATTTGAGGACCTGCTGTAACTCTTAAAGTGATAAACACAAATTCAGTTCAATTTGACAAACATTTATTAAGTATTTTCTATGGGCAAAGTACTGAGATGGAGATGGGAAGAAAGATTAGCAAGTGAATAACAGGTTCCTGTCCTGAGAAAGTA